TTCGATTGTTGTTTTTTTATAAGTCTTCCGTTGAACTCTCCTTATAAAACAATGATTTATAGCATGGAAGTAAATTATAAGTGATCTGTAAAACGAAACTCAAGTTACACTGTATGAGAATTTTTAGTGATTATCACGACCTACATATACATGTAATGGACGACAACCTAGCTTAAATGTAAACTGCTAAATATGAAAACTTAGCATTTTACGTGTACAGTATGTCTCAGCTATTTCATAGATAAGATCAAAATTCAGTTGTTTGTCTTTCAAACATTTAAATTACGATTTAGCAATTGCGATTACAATTGGAAGTTCCAACTTATTTTTAAAACGCATGAATAATGTAAACAAACGAATTTGAAAGCTTCTTTTTTTTAATTTAAGATACTTTTATCAATTTCACTCCATCCGATACATCGAAAATAAATTTAACACCTTTTCATCTTTTTCTATCGAGATTTACTTACATTTAGCTTGTAAGTTAAGAAAAATAAAAGTGATAATTCTACGTCGAATGTACGGTGAAATTCTTGAAAATTTATCAACGTTCTCCATATTGTCACTTACATGTACATGTTTCGATCGCCATAAGAACAGTAATGATCGATTTCACTACTGTATTTGGAATATACAAAGGGCGGGGCTTACTGGCGGCAAGATTAAAGCGGGGTCCGCTTCACGCATGAGTGCATAAAGCGAACCCGGAAAGCGAACGCCGGGTTCGCTCTAGCAGACCCAGAGCTGACCCCGAGCCAACGCAGAGCGAACCCGAAGCGCACCCAGAGCGGTCCCAAATTTTCTGAAAGCGGACCCGCAGTGGACCCCGAGCGAACCCAGGAAGTGAACCCGGGGTGCGCTTTGGGTTCGCTCTGGTGTTAGGTTGTGTCCGGTCGGTACTGTATTCATTGACAGTTTATAAATTAGGTTCTAATCTGTTCCCTATTTATCACTATCACTATACATTATATCAAAAAACTATCAGTGCTTCTGTACTATTTTAATTTCTTGATGAAACCTCTTACATTGGCCTCTCTTGGTCTTTGATGAACATTTAATAAGACAAGTTATTTTTGTTCCATTTTTATTTATCTATTACTTACAAGTCTGCCTGATCAGTAAAATTATGAAAATACTTTTTATATTATACAATAAAAATTCTTGCATAATTCTCTTATTCGATTAACCTTTCAAGCACATTGTTTACAGTGATTAATTATAAAAAGTAAACGGCAAAGGGGAATAACTCCTCTCAGTAGAATACAAATTAATAGAGCCCTGGCCAGGACCAGAACACATGACCAAATGGTCCAGATGTCCAAAAATCTGGTAAAAATACCCTTCCTTATTAAAACTTTTAATCTTTTTGCCTCTGATATGCCCAAGTGCAGAGAAAATTTTTAAAGAAATAATGCATTTTTACTACAGATTCTCTATATTATCAATAGAGCCCCCCCCCCTCCCCACCGAGAAACACTAGAGTCTCTCACCCTGGGACCAGAAGTTTGCTCATCATAAGTAATCACTTGTTTACCTGCTTAACACTAAGGAGAAGACAGGATTATTTAATAGAATTAATGCATTTTCACTATATTATCAAGAGCCCCACCCTTACACCAGCACATCTGACCCAGGGTCATGCAATTCACTACTCTGGAAGAAGCACTCTTGCTCATCATAACTATATACTTAGCTTCTTTGCTTTTTAACCAGAAGCAGAAAAGAATATTTTCAAAGAAATTTTGCTTTTTCACTATATAATCAATAGAGCCCCCCTCCAAATTTTTCACTAGAATCCTTTACCCTGGGGCCATGAAATTCACAATTTTGGAAGAGGCATCATTGCTTATTATAACAATGTACTTACTTTGTTTCAAAAATACCCAGGAGCAGAGAAGAAGATTTTTAAAGCATTAATGCATTTTCACTATATAATAATTAGAGCCCGGACCTAACATCGGAACCCCTGATCCAGGGGTCATGAAATTCACTATTTTGGAAGAGTCACCCTTGCATATCATAACTATATATTCAATTTGTTTCAGTAACATCCAGGAGTAGAGAAGAAGATTTTCAAAGAAATAATGCACTTTCACTATCTGATCTATATAGCCCTGCCCTAGCACCAGAACCCCTGACCCTGGGGCCATGAATTTCACAATTTTGGTAGAGTCACCCTTGCTTATCATAACTATGTATTCAATTTGTTTCAATAATACCCAGGAGTAGAGAAGAAGATTTTCAAAGAAATAATGCACATTCACTATATGATCTATATACCCCCCCAAGCACCAGAACCCCTGACCCTGGGGCTAGGAATTTCACAATTTTGGTAGAGTCACATTTGCTTATCAAAACTATATATTCAATTTGTTTCAATAATACCCAGGAGTACAGAAGAAGGTTTTCAAAGAAATAATGCACATTCACTATATGATCTATATAGCCCTGCCCTAGCACCAGAACCCCTGACCCTGGGGCCATGAATTTCACAATTTTGGAAGAGGCATCATTGCTTATCATAACTATGTATTTAATTTGTTTCAATAATACACAGGAGTAGAGAAGAAGATTTTCAAAGAAATAATGCACTTTCACTATATGATCTATATAGCCCTGCCCTAGCACCAGAACCCCTGACCCTGGGGCCATGAATTTCACAATTTTGGTAGAGGGCTCAATGCTTATTACAATCATGCCAACATTTTGACTGCTTGATGTCCAGGAGTAAAGAAGAAGATTTTTAAAGATTGCATTAATTTTGGTGGTTTTAGCCCCACCCCTCAGGCCCCAGGGGGGCAGGGACCATGATATTCACAAATTTTGTTTCCCTTCACACATAGATGCCATATGCTAAAATTGGCTGAAATTGGTTCAGCGGTTGCAGAGAAGAAGCTGAAAATGTTCAAATGTTAACACACGACGCACGACGAATGACGACGGACGAAAACAGATAGCAATAGGTCACCTGAGTGACTCAGGTGACCTAAAAATGAATTCCATCATATGACACGCCTAAAACAATGAGTCTGCTAAACTTTCAAACATCTGCAATAAGTAGTTGCTAAAAATCTGCAACCAACATTTGTAATGTATGGTATGCACAGATGCACGGATAAACAGGAAGTTGACATCAGATTCTCACAAAAAGAGTCCCATGGGCCACAACGCTCACCTGAGTAACTTTGGCCTTGCTATGTTTCATCTGATTATCCTCCTTGTAGTACTTATTGTAGCCCCGCCCTACCCCCAGGGGTAATGATTTGCATAATTTAGAATCTACACTATCCCAGGATGCTTTCATATAAGTTTCAGCTTTTCTGTCCCAGTTGTTCTTGAGAAGTACATTTTTCAAAATTTTTCCTACTTATTTCAATGTAAAATTTGGATTCCCTATTGTGGCCCCGCCCTACCCCCAGTGTCATGATTTGAACAATTAGAATCTACACTACCCCAGGATGCTTCCACATAAGTTTCAGCTTTTCTGGCCCAGTGGTTCTTGAGAAGAAGATTTTTAAAGATTTTTTCTACATATTTTAATGTAAAATTTGTATTCCCTATTGGGGCCCCACCCGACCCCCAGGGGTCATGATTTGAACAATTTAGAATCTACACTACCCCAGGATGCTTCCACACAGGTTACAGCTTTTCTGGCCCAGTGGTTTTTGAGAAGATATTTTAAAAGATTTTTTCTACATGTTTCAATGTAAAATTTGGATTCCCTATTGTGGCCCCGCCCTACCCTCAGGGGTCATGATTTGAACAATTTAGAATCTACACTACCCCAGGATGCTTCCATATAAGTTTCAGCTTTTCCGGCCCAGTGGTTCTTGAGAAGAAGATTTTTAAAGATTGTTCCTATATATTTCAATGTAAAACTTGGATTCCCTATTGTGGCCCCGCCCTACCCCCAGGGGTCATGATTTGAACAATTTAGAATCTACACTACCCCAGGATGCTTCCCTTTACCCAAGGATACTTTGTACCAAGTTTGGTTAAAATTGGCCCAGTGATTCTTCACCAGAAGTTGAAAATGTGAAAAGTCTACAGACGGACAGACGGACACACGGATAAACAGGAAGTTGTCATTGGATTCTCACAAAAATGAATCCCATCATACGGCATGCCTAAAAAAAGAGTCTGTTAAAATTTCAAGCATCAGCGATGAGCAATTGCTGAGAAAACTGCGACCAAAATTTGTTAAGGACAAACACACAGACACACAGACAGCTAGACAAATGGACGCACAGACAGACACACAAGGGTAAAACAGTATATCTCCCTCTCCTTTGGAGCGGGGGTATAAAAAACGGAAATTGCTTCTTAAAGGCTTGAAACATCTGTATAAATTAGATTCCTGCAAAACTTGGGTTTAGAAATGAGCTCAACAGTGCTTACACTATTTGAAATACCTCTGAAATGAAAAAGAAATATTTTGCTTAAAATACAGTGTATAACTATATGAAAGAAATGTCCCTCACTTCTACTTTCATTTTTCAAATGCATCTGCAAATGTGTACTTTGTTAGGTCATACAATGTATCACATCTACCAATAAGAAGGCCTTTGAGAGGCACATTATGGTTTAAAGGGGATAAAACATTAACTCTGTTACATATGGAAAATGTATAAATGACCTGTGCCCAGATACCCCCCCCCCCCAATCTAGCTTCTATAGAATTAAGGAATAACTGTCTGATTTTTCAGTTTCATGATGTGATCAATCGATTGGCTTGCGTGATAATTTGCATAAACACCGAAGGCGTTTATGCATAAAATTATCACGCTCTTGATTCTGCAAATTCACGTGCTACAAGCCCCACTTCTGTCTCTATTTGTCCTGCCCCGCACATGATTTTTTTTTTCACCACGCCTATCGATGAACCAGAAGATTTATGTAGAAATAAAGTATTTTTACTATTTGAAATTTTATCTCAGACAAAAAAATTGGAAATGTAAATATTACAATATAAAAACAAAAGCTTGGTCATCAAAACTTACAGTTCATTGTGCTGCTGTCACCAAGGTTTATTTCACAAATTAAATGTTGATTGTTGTTTGTTCTCCTGAGAGGTTTGTTATCTAAAAAACATTTCATCTCAGGCTGTATTTCCAAAGCTGGGACAAAACTGACACTTTGAGTTTGTTTCTGAAATATATACATAAAACATATTACATAAATTTCAATTCTGAATAGGTCAGTGGGTGACAGCATTCACTGTGTCAAACTTTTATCACTGTGAAATGAATCTAAAATCAAAATCTTTACCTATGTCCACAGCAGAGCTCTTACCAATAATAAATATGAAAACTAAATGTGTCAGGGTGACACCAATGCCCCCACTGACATGCAAGTTTCAAATATGTAGAAGTTCTTGGGTTTGGAAACAAGAGGCCCAAAGGCCTTAATGGCCACCTGAGTATATTGTAACACTGTAAAGGATCCATAGAGTGAAAATAAAATGAAACAAATTAAGCTGATTTATGAAGTCATGTTGCTAAAAAAAAAGAGCAAAAGGATGATCAGGGATCAGCAAAATAATTAATTCAGTGCTCAGTAACAAATCTTTAAAGTTGATCTATTTACTTGCCTGTACTTATCCCCATTTGTCGCTATCCCCATGTGGTCTAAGCAAAACAATACTTCTTGAGCACTATTAAGGGGATGAAGGACACATGATCACATGACTGTTTAATTACATCATAGTCTCCGTTTATAAAAGTGCAAAACGTGTAAACCATCTGTTCTTGAATAAATTTTTGACAATTTGTTTCACTTTTATTAGCATCTTATATTAAAAAAAATATAAAGTTTAAACATTCTTGTAAACATTAACAAATTATGAAATAGATTGATCCATCCCTCTGTTTCCCTAAACTGCACATCCAACTAGTCGGTGACGTCATCCACGATCTGTTAGTACAGCAAGATCATACTACGTGAATACAGGAGTGGTATTATTATGTAAAAACAGGTCATAAACAGTATATGATAATATATTTTGAGACAAGAGGCCCATGGGCCAAATCGCTCACCTGAGCACATTGGCTAGGCAAAAGCACAAATCAGTTCATTGAAAAGATTACCCGGGGGAGGGGGGGGGCTTGAATTTTAAGCTATCTGATGATGCTTCCATGTCAATATAACAAATGGCTTTGTTGTACTTGAGAAAATTTTTTAAAAAATTCCCAAATATTCCTTTGTAAAAATTTGATCCCCCATTGTGGCTCCTCCCTATCCCAGGGGTCATCATTTGAACTTGAATCTACACTACCTGAGGATGCTTCCAAATCAATATGACAAAACATAGCTTTCCTGTTCTTGAGAAGAAATATTTTTTCTATATGTTCTGATGTAAAACTTTCGATCCCCCAATGGGCCCCACCCAACCCCTTGGGGTCATCATTTGAACAAAATTGAATCTACACTTCCTGAGGATGCTTCCATATCAAAACGACTAATCATGGTTTGCAGTTCTTCAGAAGACTTTGATCCTCCATTATGGCCCCATCCTACCCATGGGGGTCATGATTTAAACAAAATAGAATCTACACTAGCTGAGGATGCTTCCATATAAATATGATCAATCAGGGCTTTGCTGTTCCCAAGAAGAAGCTTTTTCCTATATATTTCTATGTACAACTTTGATAGTGCATTACAGCCCCGCCCTACCCCCGGCGGTCATGATTTGAACAAACTTGAATCTACACTACCTGAGGATGCTTCCATATATATATGACTCATCATGACTGTTGTTCTTGAGAAGAAGATTTTTAAAGATTTTTCCTAAATATTTCTATGTAAACTTTGATCCTCCATTGTGGCCCCGCCCTATCCCCGGGGGTCATGGTTTGAACTTGAATCTACACTACCTGAGGATGCTTCCATATAAATATGACTCATCATGGCTTTGCTGTTCTTGAGAAGAAGATTTTTAAAGATTTTTCTTATATATTTCTATGTAAAACTTTGATCCTCCATTGTGGTCCCGCCCTACCCCCAGGGGTCATGATTTTAACAAACTTGAATCTACACTACATGAGGATGCTTCCATATAAATATGACTCATCATGACTTTGCTGTTCTTGAGAAGAAGATTTTTAAAGATTTTTCCTATATATTTCTATGTAAAATTTTGATCCTCCATTTTGGCCCCGCCCTACCCCTGGGGGTCATGGTTTGATCAAACTTAAATGTACACTACCTGAGGATGCTTCCACGTGAGTTTCATCTTTCCTGGCCCTATGGTTCTTGAGAAGAAGATTTTTAAATAATGCCATTATTTTTTCACTTATTCCTAATTATCTCCCCTTGAAAGAGGGCATGGCCCTTCATTTGAACAAACTTGAATCCCCTTTACCCAAGGATACTTTGTGGCAAGTTTGGTTGAAATTGGCCCAGTGGTTCTTGAGAAGAAGTCGAAAATGTGAAAAGTTTACAGACAGACAGACGGACAGACAGCTAGACGGACGCCGGACAAAATGTGATCAGAAAAGCTCACTTGAGCTTTCAGCTCAGGTGAGCTAAAAAGGGCAGCACAAAAATTATTTTTTGTATTTCCGATGACGGAAATCTTATGTAGGTATATCTTATTTTGCTTATTTAGCTTACGAGTGATGTCAAAGTTGGTTTTACCCGTACGCGAGAAATGTAAACATGACACGTTTTTCTCATGCTTATGTCTTCTTTAACGATGTCCTGTGCAATATTGAGGTCAGCTTCACCATTCCAAATTTTTACATTTAATCAATAATATGAAGGACTTGCATTTCTATGTACCGTATTTGGCTGAATACGCACTTTTTTCCCAAAATAATTTTCTGTGAGAAAGGGGTGTGTATTTTACACCACAATGGGATTTTGATAGGTTTTTCTTTCATGTGAAACACGGCTATCATATTACGCACATACCGTAGTATTACCTAGAGACTTGTGCAATTTCTTGCTGTTTATTGCCGTATTTAAAACTTCAGAAAGTTATTGTTGGAATGTAGACTAGTTAAAAATGTTATATTTATAACCTTTTGATAGTTAAATTAAATTTAAAAGCAAGTTAAAATTAATTTGAGCTGCATGTTCATCGTCTCCGTGTAGGCCGCCATTAACGATGTTATATATAGATGTTCACACATTCTTTGCCATGTGCTTCCGTAATCATAATACACATGTACCTAATCAGTCAGACACTCGGTCAAAAAAGTAATGTCATTTTTTAATGAAATACAATAAAATAAAATTTATTTTAGGCTTTAAATAACTCAGTGAAAATTCATTTCAACATAAACACCTCTCTATACGTCCCAATGAATGGAAGCCAATGTTGTGAACACGTGCGCTTGTCACTTGATAATTACCCCTCAACACCCCTCCAGGCAATTAAATTGTTTACTGACTCCAAAGCATTGTTTTTACAGTTAGAGCACTGATTATTTACTGCCCTTATTAATGGCTTTGATTATTTTTTTTGTTAAAAATCAGGGGTTGGTTTATGATCTTTCGTATGTATAAGCGTGTGTTGATTACGACACATTAAACAGTTAAACGCTTGTTAAATGTAATTTCACTTTACCTTATATCGGCCTCGTGTTAAAATGATTGAGAGTTAAAAAAGGAAATATGAAGTATGTTGAAACTTGAGTGTTATCATTTACTCGTGCTCTGTAGAAAATAAAATATCCACAAAGATTAACTCTATGTATGAAGACATATATCCCACCTTTGTACATCATTTTTCGCAGCTTTGGAGGTGTGTTGATAACTACACTTTATACAATTGTTAAATTTTGATTTTATTTTTTATAACATCTGAATTCAGCTATTTATTTAATTAATTAATTTCAAATTCAAAAGACGAAAATCGTAGTCTATGAATACTTTGATGTTGCAATATCGCTTGCCCTGTTGAATTTACATAATTTTCAACATGATTACCTTTAACTAAAAATAAATATGCAACAATATCTCGTGCTTTGTTGAAATAAAATTATTTCCACAAAGAATATTAGAATATGGCGATGTATAATTTCAATATCACTGTTTGCTAAAAAAAAATTAATAATAAACTCTGTTAATTATACTTTAATGCAACATTATCTCGTGCTTTGTTAAAATAAATAATTTCCTCCAGATTGCCGCGATATGGAAATTCAAGATTAAAATATAAAAACGCATTTGAATAAAATATCGTGTTCTGCAAATTTTCGGCACTTTATCTCCGCGCTGATTTTCATAGCAAATTACCGCGATTTTCAAAAGTTCAGAACACCGCTAGGTAAAATTTTCTGCTGCGTATAATACAACCGAACTGCGTTTTTTCTCCCAGTTTTAGGCTCAAAAAGGGGGGTGCGTATTTTACACCAATGCGTATTATATTCAGCCAAATACGGTAAATTTAAAAAATTGAATGATAGATTTTTTTTGCAAATTAAATTTTTTGTTGTTTGTCTTAAAAAGTAAGTAAATTTCCCTATCCAGATGCAGCGTGATTGAAGTAACTTGCTTTTTTGAATTTTAAACCCTATTCATACTCTGAAACATGTCCACTTACATATTTTTTATCTATTCCTTAAAAATCCCATTATAGTAATGGGCCCGGAAACATGGAGAATTCAAACTCCATTTAGAGACTCTAGGGCACAGTATTTGTTAATCAATATCTCTAAAATAAGGTAAGAAACCTAGTGACATAACTGCTTAAGATATGTGGGACATACTTAATTAGAATTATACAAAATATGAAAAAAATTGAATGACAAGTATTTTTTCAGCTCAAGGTCCTTCTTCCCCTTAATAAACTAATTCTCATTCCCTCTCAAAATGGCCTCAACATTTTCTTAGTCTTGGAAGAACATTTAGGCTGGCTGAAATTGATTCTACATTTAACGTTACCTATAAATTTCAAAACCTAGAAGGGAGGGAGGAAAATAAAAATTTGAAACAAATGAGAATTAACTAATATACATGAATTAAAATACTGTCAATATTTGTGCGTCATGTAGGCTTATTGTTTAATGATAATTTTCAATAAATCTGTAAGTTTAAATGATAGACTCAGCTCAAATACACCTCACAGAACACCATAATATTGTCTTTCTCTACAGAATGCAGTTTTAGTTGCTAAAAGTAAAGGCAAACTGGAAAAGAAACATTTAAATACACAGATTTGTTTTTTTTTTTCAAAGTGCCAATCTCTCTGAAACCTACGAGCACAAGTTACGTTAAACATAGAATTTACTTTACATGGACAGCTTTAATGTACAAATTTAAGATAAGGTATTTTTGTCCCATTTTTATTTACCTATTACTTAAAAGTCTACTGACCATTAAAATCTTTGATGGTTTGCACTTGCAGACTGACTGAAATGTGTTTTTTTTTTTTTGAATTTGGCAGTCTTTCCATGATCAATGACGTAGTTTATAATTATAGTGAGCGCAGCGAGCTCAATAGACTGTGTAAGAACAGAGGAAATTCAGAATGTAATCTGTATATTCGTCAGGCAAATTTTCCTGTGCAACCTTCCCAGAATTCCTTCGCTACAAGGAATCAATGCAATAATGGCAAATAAAAAGTCCCACAGTTATCATGTATTAAGATTTTGTTCTTGCAGAAAGCTTAAACGAAACAAATGCCTTTCGTTACAAAATTGCACAAGGCCTATATAGACTCAGTTAGGGAAATGCAACTTCAATCAAGTCAAATGTGATGTCATGTGATGTCACAGTCTAGACTGTCTCTTGTTTCTGTTTGAAGGTTAAAGAGGGGGATTAAAGTTTTTAAAAGTGTAAGCTATAAAATGGTTTTTTATGGTATACAATTGCACTTTCCCCAACGGTGGCACTGTAAAACATATTAGTGAGGAATTTTGCAATATTTCCTAAACTCAAAATCTTCTATAAGCCGTTTATATGTATATTGTCAAATTTTGCTATATAATAAAGTGTCAACTCATCACAAGTTTGCATCCTGTCCTGTGTATTTTTTAAAATTTCCACATCTGGCATGCTTGTCTAGGTTAATATACACTGTTAATGAGGATCGAGAGAAATTAAAACCACAGTAACCACTGGTAGCACAGTTGACACCTTGTTGATTAATTGTTATCAGTGGCAATAAACAGATATCTACCGATAAACATTAGAACTGCCATCTTTTTTTCCACATGGAAATACAGTATTATTCAAAGCAGATCAGTAAAAAATCCAGAATTCCTAAAAATTTGTAGAAATGGGATTTAAAAAACATATCAGAGACAAGTGGTAGAAAGGATTCGAAATCAGTAGACTTCCGAAAAAACTGGGAAAGTTGGCATGTATGTCTACCTAAGGTGCATTCATTGACCAAGTTTGATGATTCTTATAGTTTTTTAAGTTATGAGCTAGACAAGATTTTTCCATATTTGGTCATATCGTCTTAATCAAAGGTCACAGTGACCTACTTTTATTGTGCAACACACCTTCTATCCAAGATGTATCAGCTAAGAAAGTTTGAGCATTCTAGGCCGGACATGAAAAAGCTTACAGACAGACAGATAGACAGACGAACATGAACTCCATACCATAATACATGTATGTCCCGTCTTAAGAAGAGTGTATAAATACAACATGAATGCTGGCATAGTTCTGAAAGTCAACTTGAAGATCTTGTGACCTAGAAACTTACCAAACCCGATTCCAAATCCAGCAGATAAGCTGTTTTTTCACCCAAATCAAGTTTTAAACACTGGTTTCGAGCAGATGGAAGCCAAAAGTTTTTCTTTGATGAACAATTTGCTTTTTCTGTACAACTAAAAAAGAAAAAAAGTTAATTTTTTATACTTGTATTAAACAAGAGGCAAACAGGCTTTAATGGTCACCTGAATGACAATATGCATTTTTTCTGAGCTGACATAATGCTTTCTTTTTTTATTATCAATGCTCTCATTATACTTGAGCCTACATCTCATCTTGGTGCAAATGGCAATGATTATTCAAAAAATTCTTCTAAAGGTCCATAGACCACAACGCTCACCTAAGAAATTTTGGCACTGCTTGAGATATGATTTTTAGAGACTTATCCTACTTATTCACACGTCAAAAAAACTTCTGATACCTAGTTTGGTTGCTCCCTTCTCCTGATATATCCAACTTGACACTGCACTGCATGAGGTGATGACTATACAGTAAAACTTTTTTATGAGGAACTTGGATATAAGGAAATGTTGGATATAGCAAAGTTTTCTTTTCCCTATTCCTCACATCATTGCATTTTCTTTCATGGATACAAGGAACTAAAAATTAATATCCTGAGGACTTCCTAATTTTATGTTCATCAATATGACAATTGTATCCCTGCTGATCTTCATCAGATGCTTCTCCGTATATCCCACGGTAAAATTCTAACCCTATACTGTAGATTCCTTATTTTTCGCGAGTACTTATTATCGCGAAATGGCTCTTTCACGTCAAATCCCGAGAACAATAATTCGCGATTGGACGGTTGATCAAGGGGTTTTACATTGATTTCAGCACCATAAAAATAAAAGCGAGAAATTTTATTTCGCGAGTGGTGCTTCTCGCGTAATTACGCGATAATTAATTCCTCGTGTATATTTAGGAAACTACAGTATTGTGACCACATCCTAGCTCCAAGAGTCATGATTCTAACAAACCTGATATTTTACCCTGCATGGGGATACTTCAATGTATACATGTATCATAATGACAAAGTGAAGCCTGCTTTCTTCAATGAAAAGATTTTTAAAGATATTTCTAATCTTATAGATTTCTTTAGAATCATTTTAATTAATTGGGGACTAGATATAATTGTGGCATTGATTACTGTAAACCAACAATTAAAGATTATGATTTTACAACAAATTTAATTTGTACATCAATTCAGTCGACATAAATATAAGTATACTTTCGTTTTAGATTTACTAGCCCAACGGTTTAACACAGTATACATTTATCATAGCCCGACCTCTAAAATTGATAGCCCCAGGCATCAGGCGGTGGTAATTGCATACCCCTGAAGCCCACCAGCTGATCAATGGTAAAGCATAACACCTTGTAAATTCATTAAAATTTAAAACGGAGGAAGCTGAAACAGTGCATATTATGAGGCATCCGCAAATATTTGCCCTAACAGAAATAATAAGCATTGCAGCAACACATACCTGTGAGTATCAACGCACCAGCCACATTTAGAATCCTTAGCCATCATACAAGATGTGCAGTTTCCAACAAATTCCTCGCACTTTTTCTCCGGTGAATATTTAAAAATCTGAAGTGGGAATTAAGTTGACAATTCATTTATTTACAAAAATTATGGTTAATATTACCATATAAATTCAGGTTTCATCGTAAAATATTCCCAGATCACAGTCAAGAAATGAACTAGGTACTGGCTTAAAATTCATATGACATTGTGTGTGTGTCTGCATGATACAATGACCCAGTCCCAATTAAAAGACTCTTTTTTTAAAAATAGCTAAAATTTGCGAAAGACAAGCATATTGAATTTTTCTAAGCTTTTTATCAGGTATCTGCTGAATTTTTGGTTTACCATAATTAACAAAGATGTGCACAGAGGACATATACAGTCCCTGAAACTTTCTACTTTCCCATTCTTCCGTTCACTCACTGTGCATTCACTGTTCGTTCAGCTTGCGCTCACCATTTGATTTCCAATCAGTTTTGTGTTCACCTTTCACCTACCACTCGCGTTCACAAAGCATCCAGCGTTCGCTCTCCGTTCGCACATATTGTGTTCAATCACTCACTGTTTGTTCAGCGTTCACTTACCATTCAGCTTGCATTGTTCTTTGGAACTCCAAAGTGAAAGGATCGATTTAATTGGTGATAAATTGAAAAAGGAACTTATGCGCAAAGCTGGAAGGAAATTTTCATATGATATCAGGAATATAATTCTTAATTATAAATCATCTGGACTTATATCTACAGTGAAAATTTAAACAAAACTGCATACCACTGACCAAATTTTGACTTACAATATACAAAATATTATAATCATTTTCAGAAAATCAGTTCTGTGGTTGATCAGAGGTATGTGTAGCATGATTATTCGTTGTTTTTTATTGAATGTGTCATTAGTCCATTGGTTGTAACTGTATATAGAAACATATTATAATTATAATGACAAACACCATGATGCAAGTCAGCAAGTTGCATTGTACTACAATGTACTGCATTTTCAATATACATTCCAAAAAAATCTGTCATTTAAAAGGGAAGGGGTAGTTTTTGTACGAGGGCAATCTGCTTTCTTCATAATTATGTTTAATTCTTGTCAAGTTACAAGGGGTTCAAGTCAGTTTCGTGTCATATAAATTTAATTTCTCAGAAAATACAAACCCCCTTTTTCTCTTAAAATCTGCACACGCCGTGGGCTATTATTTGGTCATACTGTTTATTATGACATTTGTGTCACATATACACATATACTGTGAAATCATAATTACGATGGGGTTTAATTTTCATTGTTTTTGAGGTATGGAGAGACCCACAAATTTATGACCATCACGAAATGTAAAATTTCATATGCATTACTACTAAATATTCTCCAACCACGAAATCAAATCCCCACAAACGCAGTATTTTTTCCACAAACCTCAAAAATTTTACCTCACAAAAATATATGATTTTACAGTAATAGCTTTGTGAATAAATAATTATTAACTAGTCTCTATTAATACTGCCCACTTTAATGAAATGTATAGAGATCTTTTCAGGCATACCTGCCAAGTGACCCGCATTCGGTGGGTCACACCCGCAAAACTGACCTTTCACCTGCCACTCATAATGACCAATGGTGTGTCATAGTCTTCACCCGCAAAATAAATCATCTTGATTAATTAAATTAAACACAACTTTATGGTATATATTCATCTACAAAATATTGAATTTTCTGTTTATTACATTTTCTTTGATTTTCCCTTTGCCTCTGTCTTTTCTCAACACAGTGCCCTAGGCTGTGATGTCATAGTTGAGCAGTTGAGACGTCATAGCTTAATTAGCAATTGTGAGATTGAAAACATTGCAACATGGATTTTAGCAACATATTTGGGAAGAAATTGGCAGTTTTAGTGTCTATCAAGATGGTTTAGTTATTATCTCTATCTAATGACAGGCCAGAAATCATTTTTTACTTACTTTTATATCCTTTCACACTGTGAGAGAATGTTAATATCACTTTTATTCAATAAATACATCAGAGTTTTCACTTTTGAAAATGTAATAAATATATTTATACATATATGTTCACTATTTTATTTTTGGAATTTTCCCCCAACAAATTGGGAGAAATTGAATTTATTTTCCATTGGTATGGGGCCGAATTTCGGCATCTGAGAAGGTACTGAGGGTACTGATGAATTGCTGAAATTAAATGTATCTACAGATATTAAGGAGAGACAAGAAAAGAATAGCTGTGATTAACAATTTAGTTCATGCATTTAAATTGCGATTTAGTGATGCATGTGTACTGTCAATACTGTAACTGATAAAGAGAGCTCATGGAGTGCACATGGTGTAGGAGGTTTTTTTTTTTTGAGATTTAATTATATGACCAAAGACTAAAGCAGAGTTGGGGGGGGGGGGGGGGGGGGGGTAAGGAACCTTTAAAATTTTTTGGTTTTTTCATTTAGTATGGAATTTTTATTGAAAATTCCCCCTTTCCTAATTTTTTTGTAGGATCATTGAACCTTCTTTTTTTTTTTCTTAGTTAGAAAAGAATAAAAAGGAAAAGAAATTGTTGAAAACATGGAAACATTGATAAATTTACCTCCAACCCTGCATGAAGTAGGTTTTTAGTACTCTGGGCAGTTACTGTAAATGTTTGGTTTTCCCCTTTCCTTTGGATGGATGTTTTTTTTTTTTTAATTTCAATTACCGTATTTGGCTGAATATAATACGCACTTTTTTCCCAAAATAATTTTCTGTGAGAAAGGGGTGCGTATTTTACACCACAATGGGATTTTGTTAGGTTTTTTTTTCATGTGAAACACGGCTATCATACGCACATACCGTAGTATTACCTACAGACTTGTGCAATTTCTTGCTGTTTATCGCCGTATTTAAAACTTCGGAAAGTTATTGTTGGAATGTAGACTTGTTAAAAATGTTATATTTATAACCTTTTGATAGTTAAATTAAATTTAAAAGCAAGTTAAAATTAATTTGAGCTGCATGTTCATCGTCTCCGTGTAGGCCGCCATTAACGATGTTATTTATAGATGTTCACACATTCCTTTGCCACGTGCTTCCGTAATCATAGTACACATGTACCTAATCAGTCAGACAAGTAATAAGTCATTTTTTAATGAAATACAATAAAATTTATTTTAGGTTTTAAATAACTCAGTGAAAATTCATTTCAACATAAACATCCCTCTATACGTCCCAATGAATGGAAGCCAATGTTGTGAACACATGCGCTTGTCACTTGATAATAACCCCTCAACACCCCTCCAGGCAATTAAATTGTTCACCGACTCCAAAGCATTGTTTTTACAGTTAGAGCACTGATTATTTACTGCCCTTATTAATGGCTTTGATTATTTTCTTTGTTAAAAATCGGGGGGTTGGTTTATGATCGTTCGTATGTATAAACGTGTGTTGATTACGACACATTAAACAGTTAAACGCTTGTTAAATGTAATTTTACTTTAACTTATATTGGCCTCATGTTAAAATGATTGAGAGTTAAAAAAGGAAATATGAAGTATGTTGAAACTTGAGTGTTATCATTTACTCGTGCTCTGTAGAAAATAAGATATCCACGAAGATTACCTCGATGTTTGAAGACATATATCCCACCTTTGTACATCATTTTTCACAGCTTTGGAGGTGTGTTGATAACTACACTTTATACGCTTGTTAAACTTTGATTTTATTTTTATAACATCAGCTATTAATTTAATTAATTAATTTCAAGTTCAAAAGTGGAAAATTGTAGTCTATGAATACTTTGATGTTGCAATATCGCTTGCCCTGTTAAATTTACATAATTTTCAACATGATTACCTTTAACTAAATATAAATATGACAACTGTTAAACTTGCAACAAATCTCGTGCTTTGTTGAAATAAAATTATTTCCACAAAGAATAGATAGAATACGGCGACATATAATTTCAATATCACCGTGTTCTAAAAAAAAATAAATAAATAATGAACTCTGTTAATACTTTAATGCAACATTATCTCGTGCTTTGTTAAAATAAATAATTTCCTCCAGATTGCCGCGATATGGAAAGTCAAGATTAAAAAATAAAAACGCATTTGAATAAAATATCGTGTTCTGTAAATTTTCGGCACTTTATCTCCGCGCTGATTTTCATAGCAAATTACCGCGATTTTCAAAAGTTCAGAACACCGCTTGGTAAAATTTTCTGCTGCGTATAATACAACCGAACTGCGTTTTTTCCCCCAGTTTCAGGCTCAAAAAGGGGGGTGCGTATTTTACACCAATGCGTATTATATTCGGCCAAATACGGTATTTCCCTGTTCCATAATTGTTTTCCATGAATTTTTCTTTCAAATGTCATAAAACTTGTTTGTGCTGGAACCTGTTTGAGGAAATACGCCTAAAGCACGTAAAACAGAGAGAGAGGGGGGATCTTTCTGATAAACAAATCAAAAGTTGGTAGCTACAGTATATTGTATAAAGGACTATTTTGATATACATCGAGAAATATGGACCTAATTCTGTTAACTTCACCCAGAAAATTAAGAATATTTTTAAAATTGACCAGAAACTTAAATCAATAGTTCTTGAGCAAGTCATTGCAGAAAAAAAACAATTTCAAAAACAATATGATAGAATAAAATGGCAATCTGGATTGTAAATAAAGTGCCCTGCCAAAGCATGATATGCCCGTCGATTACTGTTCAATTATCATAAACAGTTTAGGGTGCAAGAAAATCATGTTAACTTAATTGATACAAAGATTTCAATGATTTTTCCATTCCTTTTAATGTTTGATGTACATGCAACTCTTGTGGTGTAGGTATTAATTATAAAAAATAATACGTACATCAAAGATTTCTCGACTGGTTGTGTTAGAGCTTAACAAATATCCATTAATTGATCTGCAGTTTTGTTTATTGTATATTTTATTGTATATTTTATGATTAACAATGCTACAGCCTTATAACATATCAAAACAAACTAGAACTATCGAAAAGGGACAAATACCCCCCACTGGGTTTTTCAGAGAAGGTACCAAATCACTAATGTTTTCTATATGCGAGAGGTGTTCAC